CTTGGGTTAATTTTTGCTGGGTATGTGCCGCTGGCCTCTCGGAACCCCTACCCCATTAGTCTCTTCTGTGGCCATGTTACAGACCACATCTTAGTCATTTTGGGAAAAAAGTAATTTTCAAAATCCCAACTTAGTCACTTTCTGTTTATGCACTAAGTCGTCCTGAAATGGACTGACACATTTGCTAAACTTAATGTGTTGAAGAGGTGGATACCACTATCCACTGGATAAATCTCTATCAGGTGTTTTCCCTTATACGTATCCGCTGAATAGTGATTTATCCAGTAGATAGCGCTATCATCTAACGTTTAAAAACCATTGCCTGGTGGATAACACTAACCTCCTTTTAAACAACTAGGGCAGAACAATATTGTATTTGAAGGCTCTTTGAAATGTAGCCATCCTCACACAGGAAAAAATAAGACATTCCCATTTTTGGATATTTTAGGGTATTTACTGTGAAACTCACCAAACCGTGAACACCAAAAATATTTATGGAATGTTATTGTGTTACGAGAAATAAGCCAATAAGGTGCAAGATAACTAAACTGCAAACAGCAACGGTAATTGGTTTGTGGTTTTGAGGTTTGCTCGCTTGTCCTGAACTTTATTGTGATTGGCCAGTACACAATCAACATTCCTGAAATTTTTCAGGTGTTCCAGTTTTCTGAGTTTGACAGTAAAGAATACCCACAAAAATCCCAAATTTGGAAGAGTGAGACAAGTCCCAACCAGGGAACTTGGCTGGGAATTCCCGCTGGTTGGGACTTGTCTCACTTTGCCAAATTTGGGATTTTTATTGGTATTCTTTAAATACCCCAAAATATCCAATAATGAGAATCTGTTATTTTTTCCTGTGATATCATGTTCCAATGTCAACACCTTTCTGTCAACATGCCTCTCTCCCCTACCCTGCCACCTCCCAAAATAGTACACGATAGTCCCGGGGGAGGCACTTGGGTATTTTTTGGGTGGGTATGTGCCGCCAGGGGCTCCAAATTGGCACCCCGTTCTAGAAAATATTTCTCCTAAAATTGACACCCCGTTTTAGAAATGGGCCAATTTTTTATACCCCGTTCTAGAATTTGCCCTGAATCTGATACCCCGTTCTAGAAATGGGCCAATTTTTTATACTCCGTTCTAGGGTGCAACAAGAGGACAACGGTTTGCTTGTTAACGCATTGAACCGTATTTTTAAAAGCAATCTGTCCTTGAATACTTTCAAATGGCTGCTTACAAAACTGGAGCTTTCCTGCGTTCGAAATATTATACCCCGTTCTAGAAAACGCCTCTGAAATGGATACCCCGTTCTAAATTAGGAGCTTCAAAATCACGACCCCTTTGGGCGGCACATACCCGTATAGGTAATGTATGGGAGTACCCCCCCGGGACGACAGTCACCCAACAGACCAGGATTTATAATAGGATCAGGATTTTAGGAAGGAATGTTTTACTCCATGTGACCTGATTCAAACCTATGATACACCTCGTAATGCATGCAAACAGTTTTTTTTTTTAAAAAATAAAAATGTTATTTTGAAGCTCAAATACAAATAGTCCGCGAGTCAAAACATTTCCTTTAAATACTCGTTTTGGGGGATTACAAAGTATCTTCCCAGGTTTAATTTTCTCCAGTGAAAGTCGTGAGTTAATATGGCATTCACGATGAATCACAAGTTCACTCATCGTTTGAATTTGCAATCGACTCAGCGGCGGTTTCGATGAAGTTGGCCAGTTGGACATCGTTATCAGATAAACCACTGCAGTCGTGTGTACTCAGGGTGATCTGTACTTTGTTGTACACGTTAAACCACTCGGGGTGATGATCCATCTTTTCTGCTTTCAATGCCACACGTGTCATGAATCCAAATGCCTGGTTGAAATCCTTGAACAGAAATTCCTTCTGAATGGCGTCTCTACCCTCCACTTCAGCCCATCCAGCTTTTCGTAATGAGGGAAGACTTGTGTTCCTTTCTTCTTCGTCGAGTTTCTGCCGTTTAGGAGCTGACATGACTTAGTTTCTTGAGTTCTGCACAAAAAAGTACAAAGACGCTCTGAAGTTATGGCGATCAATTATGATTTTAGCGCCTTTTGCACTAATCAGAAAGATTCAGGGAGGGGAGGGTTGTTTTCTTTACTTTGTGATTTTTGATCATAAATCGTGAAAAGTCGAAAAGATATAGCTTAAACCATTGTTTGAACAATAAAAAAGGGTAACAGTGAACAAATTATTTCTCAGAAAAGGTAATTTGCCACTCTTCTGCTAAAACGAAATACTTTCGTCACCCCAGAGAAGAAAAAATTGTACTATAGTATTCACTGAGATAATTTTCCCATGTGACATCTATACTAGCCAATCACGTGAAGAGCAGGCAGAGTTTTCCCGCCAAATTTTATCCTTCCCGGGAAGAAGCAAGCGGCGAACAAGCATTCAGTTGATGAAAACTTTGTAAAAATGTCTGGATTTGACGAACGCCCCGTATACTTCAGCGATGCATTTGGCTCTGAAGAGCAAACAGATGATCGAGAAGTCAACAGAATCAGCGCAAGGAAGAGATTCAGGGAATTCATTCGCGAATTTCACGAGGGAACCTTCAGCTATCCATACCGGTAAACAAAATGGCGCTTGCCTAAACAGCGTGGATCTTTTGCTTGTCTAGAAAACAAGCCTCGATCATTGCATTGTACCTTCATTTATAATCGTTTGAATGGAAAAAGTCTGTTTGATTGACAAAATTCACTCACGGAATTTCTAAATTATGCGCTTTAGTCACATAATATAGAACGTTTAATTTGGACCAGGGTGCAAACATGTGCTCTGGAAAATATTATTCTGGCTGATCGTTGAAAAAACTTAGGTTCTTTTGGCATTTAAGTTTTCGATCGAATGAGGGAAAATATCTAACAGAGGAGAGGATTTGGTGTTTTTTGGAAACCTTTGACAGAAATCTGTGGTGAACAACACAGGGCGAATATGATGTTTGTAAGCTTGCTTAGGCAAAAGTTTTTACTCGATCCGTGTTTCTTATTCTAGCGATCAACTCAAAAGGCATTACAATCTTGGCCAGTATTACCTTGAAGTAGATCTGCAGGATTTGACCAGCTATGACGAACAACTTGCTGATAAACTTACAAAGAGTCCAGCAGAATTCCTTCCTCTGGTAAGTTTGCACCTTAGAAACTAGCAGTGCCATTGATTTGAAACTGAACCAATGTTTCCTGTCATCATGACTTGAATTTAGATTTAGAACACTTAAACCACACTGGCCTGGTAAAAGTGGGCTCCAATTCAAGTTGTTGCTTGGAGGTCTGTTGTTGCTTTCCTAGTGACTGTTTTGTTATGTTACTTGTTTGTGGCTAGACACTTCGATCAGCCTTTTATCTTAAACTCCTTAACATCATTTTTTCCAGCGTTGTAAAAAAAATAATGAAAAATAATACAAATTTTGACATTTGAAGGGTGGGCGATATTAAACTGAGAATGTGCCACCCGAAAAGGAATTGTTTTGTGGTATTAATTCATGCTGAAGAAATTTTCGCAGAAGGGGATCCACCCACCCAAAATAACAGAAGCGAGACTGTAATCTAAGAAAAATTCAATTGAGCCCAGTTCTCTGAACCTCTGAAACCCAGGGTGTCTAGCATAGGATTTGTATGAAAAAGCTAACATGGAGCAAAAATTAGGCACCAGGTACCACTGGGCTCTGCCAGAGCACAGAGCTGAGAAGTGAAAAATAAATCCCTATATGTGGTATAAATATATGCCCTGGTTACAGACCAGAGTATTAAACAAAGTCTACATTTGGAAGCATGGGCAGCACAACCCCCTCTCCCCTCCCCGTCCTCCCACTAATCACTGGGGACAAAGAGCTAGCCTGATGTTATGATTTAACTTCATGTAGTTTGAAGATGCTGCAAAGGAGATGGCAGACGAAGTAACAAAACCCAGGCCACTTGGAGAAGAAGAGGTTCAAGCCATTCAAATAACATTGAAGTCAGATGCTAATCCCATGAGTGTCAGAGAGCTTAGGGCAAGTATATGGTTTTGAATAAACACTGCGTCACGATGTCCAAAATCCATAAATTAGCGACTTTAACAGATTAGATACCTTTGTTATTAATATCAACTTAGTTTTCTGTCACTTCATTGATATTATTTCTGATTTCAACAAGAGAATGCAAAGAATGCCAACACATTTTTGTTATATTATTTTATCTTGAAAAGTTATTAGAAACTGGAAAAAAGATTGAAACTATGCTTTCCTATTGAATCAAATGCCATAGGCAAAATTTTGCGCACTACTGAATAAAAAGGTAAGGTAAAAGGTAGTGGCACACACGAGCCAAAAGCCCAATTGGTCAGAGCTTATCCCAGTATCCGGTCGTAGCATGAAGCATATCCAGGTGTATTGCTACTCACCCCTGGATGGGATGCTAGTCCATTATAGGGTTACCCCCAGCAGTATGTTGCTGGACTCATTTATACACCTAGGTTAAGAGAGTCAAAGTGGATTAAAGTTTCTTGTCTAGAAAACAACGCAACAGGTGAGGCTTGAACACCAGGGCTCCAGATCCAGAGTTTGAGGTCTTACCCATTAGGCCACACACTTCTCCACTGAGGAAAGAAAATCCTCACAAATTAACAAAACTTAATTATTTATATAGCGCAAGATATATGGGAGTATGATCTAATGCTTTATCAATTTTCCCTTTGGTATCATTTATGACCAAGCTCTTCGATCTATTTATATCTATATGACTTTTTATTTTAATATTATTATTATTTTAGTCTGAACAAATGGCCAAACTTGTAAAGATTCCTGGTATCATAATCAGTGCTTCAGCTATTCGCGCCAAGGCAACCAACATCACCATCCAGTGCCGCTCTTGTCGTAACACCATCTCTAACATTCCTCTCAAGCCTGGTCTGGAAGGATATGCTATGCCACGTAAATGTCCAAGGTAGAGCCAGGTCTTGTAATTTCAATAAAATAGGTGTAAAATAGCTTAAGAATAAGCAAGATGCAGAAGGCCAATATGGATGCAATGAGTTGCCTGATTTATGTAGTATAAAGTGACAAAAAGTATTAGAAATAGAAAATTCTGGTGGAGCATGTATGTGCATCCTGAAATCTTGAGCCTGGCTTGAACTGGTTTTCTAAGAGAAATATCTATATTCTAGTCCCTGGTTCCAAAGAGTACAAAGCCTAACCTTCTTTGAGGTCCAAATGGTTGAAATCTATACTCACCTTTAGACGGTCAGAAACCACACTGTTTAGGGGTCCATGCACCTATATGGCATTATTATCAGTGAGTACCCACCCCCCCTCCTCCTCCCCCAATGGGATGTTGGTCAATGATTGCAAAGTTTTCACCAGTGGTATAAACTATCATCTTTTTTCATAAGAGTACATCTTGGAGGTTGAGGGGCATTACATGAGTGGAACACTGAGAGGTTATTGTTTAAGAAAATAACAAGATCCAGATTGTATGGCCAGAGCATGAAACAGTCCTTCAGACTTGAGATCTAGTATGCCAACTGCATGATATTGCACTTCCACATAAAAATAAAAGCAAAAGAATGATTTTGACTGTTAAAAAAGAGTTCATTTTGGGCAAAAGGGAAAGTTTGCACAGCCATTAATGTTGATTGCATTTTTTTTTTTTTCAGTGACCAAGCCGGCCGTCCACCTTGCCCTTTGGATCCATTTTATATCATGCCAGATAAATGTAAATGTGTTGATTTCCAAGTACTAAAACTGCAAGAGTCTCCAGATGCTGTGCCTAATGGAGAAATGCCACGACATATGCAGTTGTACTGCGACAGGTAAAATATTGTTCTGCATTCAATGAAGCACCTTTTGCAACACCCCAAGAAACAGTTCAAGAGCTGTTGGTTTAGTTCTAGCATGGATAACAAAAACCATGAAAAGAAGATGAACTATGCAAGGTTCTTTCTTTTCTGTCAAATTGGAGTAGCTGGCCCTGAAGCTTTTCAAAATAAAAGGCTAATAAATCTTTACGGCCCGAACGTGTAAAGGAATGAACCCTTTTAGCAATTATTATAACTATGCAAATTTTAAATCTGTGTTGTTTTACATGTAGGTATTTGACAGAGAAGGTAGTTCCTGGTAACAGAGTTACGGTGATGGGGATATATTCAATAAAGAAAGTTGCTCAAAAGGCAGACAAGGTAACATAATGAAGTGAAAGGAGTAAAGACAAACTTAGTTGCCTCTTACAGACAACAGATAGCAGTTGACTGTATTTCCCCTATCCAGTTAGCTCAATTGGATAAGCACGGTCTGCAGAATGAAAGGCAGATGGTTCAAACCCCAGCTGGACTAACACTCACGGTCTTGAAATAACTGAGGGGAAAGTGCTGTTTATCTAATAACATGTGCAAATGGTTAGACTTTGTAGTGTTCTCGGATAAAGACATTAAACCTTAGGTCCTGTCTCACAACCCTCGCACATTTTAATAAAGTCTGTTAGAAGTTAAAGAGCCCAGGCACTGTTTGTAAAGAGTAAGGGACATAGTCCTTGGTGTAGTGGTCTATCTTAAATTCACACTCACATAGGGGGCGTCATTACTCATTCCTTCATTACTCGTAAACTGCACCTTACGCAGTCTGGCAAAAGTCCTCTAACTAGTGTTGTAAATTATCCCTGATAAGACCTGAAAGGAGTGGACAGGGTTTTTATTAAGAATTTTCATAGCAGGAGAATGGTGTAAAGGTGTACAATTACAGGAGATTATTTTAAAGGAGCTCCACGTCTGAATAAAAAATTGTCATAGGCTACCAAACTATAACCNATAGGGTGCATCATTACTCATTTCTTCGTTACTCGTAAACTGCACCTTACGCAGTTTAGCAAAAGTCCTCCAACTAGTGTTGTAAATTATCCCTGATAAGACCTGAAGGGAGTGGACAGGGTTTTTATTAAGAATTTTCATAGCAGGAGAATGGTGTAAAGGTGTACAATTACAGGAGATTATTTTAAAGGAGCTCCACGTCTGAATAAAAAATTGTCATAGGCTACCAAACTATAACCCTAGAATTCTGCATAGTAATCAGAGAATTCTCCTATCTCTGATGCCTAATGAACACCATGAGTGGATAATAAGATACTTACAATTTACTATTTACAATTTCTCTCAGGACAGGGATTCAGTGGGTGTGGGTATAAGGAAGCCATACCTCCGTGTTGTCGGCATTCAGGTAGACACAGAAGGTCCAGGGCGCAGCACTGGGGCACCACTCAATCCACTTGAGGAAGAGGAATTTAACAGATTTGCTAGCAGACCTGATGCTTTTGAGACAATAGCAAAGAGTATTGCTCCATTCATCTATGGCAGTGAAGATGTTAAGAAGGCAATTTCATGTTTACTGTTTGGAGGTTCTCGAAAAAGGTAATTTAATTTTACAAGACTTATACGGTGATCAGACATAATTACCTCAAAGCTAGGACTTTCCCCCAAAGTTTTAGACAGGGAGGCTCCACCCCAGCGGGGGGGGGGCAACCTGTTACCCTCTTATAATATACCATTTTTGACAAAAAAGGTTTCCCTTTCATATACCTTTTATTGACAAAAAAAACCTCTTTAAAATGCGATAAATGTGATAATGTCTTTAAAATATGAATATAACTAAACCAAGATTTCAAGTTTTCTTGTTGTTATTTTCTCAGCTGTCTTTCACACACTGTAATGACATATATCCCCACTTCAACCCTAATGAAATCCCTACTGTTTTATATTCCTGAAGCCTGAAAAAGGATGTGCCCCTTTCAGGCATAGCCTCCCTCTATAGGCTGCTAGAGGGATTCTATTTTCCCAGGGACCTTCCAACAGGACACTGCTTCCTTAAATTGGTGTGCGCTACAGTAGTGACTCAAGATTCTCAAATAATAATAAGCTATCTATATTATGTGCCACTGTGATTGTCTGCGACAGGATAGAGAAATCACAGAGTCTGTGAATAGGAATAATTTTGTTAATATCTACGTTAGGGTTTTAAAACTGATACTGAAACATGTGATGTGGAGTTGGGATTTCAGAGTTCCAGCACCATACTGTGGCCCCAAATTAAAATCCATGCTGAGTTCTTCTCTCCAGAAAATAACTTATTGGTCTTTCTCTAATTTTTGCCCTCTTTTTTATCTTTAGGCTTCCTGATGGATTGACTAGACGTGGTGATATCAATGTTCTTTTATTGGGTGACCCTGGTACCGCCAAAAGTCAGCTGCTGAAGTTTGTTGAAAAGGTCTCTCCTATTGGTGTTTACACATCAGGCAAAGGAAGCAGTGCCGCAGGTTTGACAGCATCTGTCATGAGGGACCCTGCATCCCGTAACTTCATCATGGAGGGTGGGGCTATGGTACTTGCTGATGGTGGTGTGGTTTGCATTGATGAGTTTGACAAGGTGACCATTATTCTTAATTCTTACTATTTTTTGAGTCAGAGCAATAATGTGTTCTGAAAACTAAATTTCTGTCTTAGAAGACCAATCGCTGATCCAGTTGTCACGTACAGCACAAGACTAACCAACCTTTGTGAGAGTATAATGCTAATTATTGTTTCTCAAATAATAATTTATTGATTTTATTTACAGATGCGTGAAGATGACCGTGTGGCCATTCACGAGGCCATGGAGCAACAGACCATCTCAATTGCCAAAGTAAGAAGTAATTCTTTTTTATACAAGTGTAGTCCGTGGAGTTTCACCACTATTATTGTTGTTGTTACCTGAATGATTTGTTATTATTTTACATGATGTTTAGGCTGGAATTACCACAACATTGAACTCAAGGTGCTCTGTGCTAGCGGCAGCAAATTCTGTCTTTGGCCGCTGGGATGAAACAAAAGGAGAGGAGGTGAGGGCATTTGTTGTTAGCCTTTACTATTGCAGCTGTGTTTTGGTGATCCCATAAAAATAAATCATCATTCTTTTTTGTCTTTAGAACATAGACTTCATGCCAACTATATTGTCCCGTTTTGATATGATCTTCATTGTGAAGGACGAACATGAACAAAGCAAAGACATGGTGAGTTATTTTGTCAGAAGTCAGTTAAACGAAATTATGAAGATCATAAATCAGTAGTGAGAATATTAGTGACAATGATGTCTTGCTGGTGTTCAGATGATGATACAGATAAACCCTGTTTATTTTACTTGACTGTGTGACACATTGTGAAAATAATGAGATCCCAGCTTCTTAAAAGTTTTTCCTTTTCAGACATCCTCCCATCATCAGTCCACCCACCCCGCCCTCCATCATGTGCACACACATTAAGACAGAATCCATCAGTATAAGTTTTCATTTTCAGTGGACAAAAACCTGTACCAGAATAGTTTAAACCATATTACATTTTTCAAGGGCTATAAAGTTTATAGCCCTTGAAAAATGTAATATGGTTTAAATTATTCTGGTACAGATTGTTGTTATATTTAATATAATACTAATGGGAACCTGAAAAATAAATTTCAAATTTCACAGGAATTGAGAAAACATAGATAAAATTTCATATGATGAGATTTCTTATTTGAAATTTATTTTCTTGGGTTTCCATGAGAAATCTTCTTTAGTGTTATTAAAATAATATAATAATTAATTTATAATTATTAATTAATGTCACTATATATTCGCTTAAAAAGGAAAACCCCATGAAAAGTCATGAAACTAAATAAAGCACGCAGTCGTAATGAACAAACAACTGGATTGCGTAATAAGGGGGGGACACAGCCCTGTGGCAGGCAATTAGCAACTTCAAGGTTACTCGCAAAAAAAGCACAAAGCCTCACTTATCACCCCACCACCACACGAGATGGATCAGACAAGATGAAGGCTAAGGAATAAGATGGCAAGACACAAGATGATGAAGCTGATAATGCTTTAAACAGCACCTTGAGAGGAAAAAATTTTGCTAAAAATAATGATGATGACTGTGATAACAATGTGTTATTTCACTCCCCTTTGAACAATTCACGCTTAGTGATAACTTGTCTGCTCTCACCACACAGCACCTTGCCAAACATGTGATGCAAGTCCATCTTAATGCAGCTCAAACTGGACAAGCACAAGAAGGAGAACTGAGTCTGAACTTCTTAAAGAAGTATATTGGCTACTGTCGCAAGTAAGAATTCTTAAACATATTTTGAAAGCAGGGTTTCCAGAATTTGGGTCTTGGAAGGTTTTAGTCAAAGTGCAAAGTGCTTGTTACATCGTAATATTATTATTAATTTTTTGAGTAATGCTTAACATGTCACTATCTTCCTTATTTTTGTGAAGTCATTTTACCACTTGATTTTTAGCCCCTAATCTTGCATTCTAAAGTCTGCTATAAATCACATATTATCTCTTTTGTTGTAGCAAATGTGGTCCCAGGCTGTCTGAGGAAGCTGCACAGATGCTGAAGAATCGTTATGTCCTAATGCGAAGTGGGGCTCGAGATTATGAGCGAGATGCAGAGAAAAAGATTAACATCCCTATCACTGTTAGGTAAGATTTTTCTAGAGCCTAATAAGGGGTGAGGGTGTAATGTCTTCTCTCTTTTTCCTGTACTTAAACCACAAAAAACGTCTTTGCAAAAACAGGTTTTGAAAACAATTTGAATTTTACCTTGCCCTTTGTACAAGCATGGCTAATATTTTCCTTGCTTAGGGCTGGAATCGGCAAGTGATCAAGAAAGAATAGTTACTTGCATTACAGGAAAATCTATGGATGGGACATTTCTTGAGCCCTGCAAATTTTTCATCAAAAAAGCCAACCTCTAAACCCTCTAACAAAAAGAGGTCTTCAAATTTTTCCTGCCATAGTAGTTTTGAATGCCCATTCTGTTAACCCACCTTGGGTATCCTGTGGCTCATGCTTTGACCCTTATATGCTGCCTTTAATTTTACACCATTATACGCTAGAACTGCATGTTTTTAAGTTCCTGTCACCGATAATTTAATTATCTTTCAGGCAACTAGAAGCAATCATCAGGATTTCAGAGTCACTTGCTAAGATGAGGTTACTGCCTTTTGCAACAGCAGCGCATGTTGAAGAAGCCCTGAGACTGTTCCAAGTGTCAACATTAGATGCTGCCATGTCAGGAAGCCTTTCAGGTAAACCAAAATCTTGTATTTGAGTGAGTACCATTTTAAGATAGCTTTAGAAGCTGAAAGCAAAGCACACATGGCCCCATCTTGTTCATTCAATCCATGCCTACCCCTCCTTCATTCAGGGCATTGTAGAGGCCTTCCAAGGGGAGGTATGCTGTTTCTTTGTCCATCATTTCTGAGGCTACCTGTTGCCTGGTAGGTTAGGAAAAAATTTTGCTGTCACAATTAATTTATCAAGGACAAAAATGTTGATGTTGGTTTGGCATAAATTTTTGTGATTCTCAATTTGGAATTCACAGCAGATAGACAACTAGGGTAACTAACCCTTTCAACCAATACCTTGGTGTTTTGCATCATTATTATTAGGAGCAGAGGATTTTACCCCAGAACAAGATGTGGAAGAAGTCAGACAGATTGAAAAGCAAATCAAGAAGAGATTTGCCATTGGAACACAGGTGAAGTTAAATATTCTATAGGAAGCAAAATATTTTACAGGTGTTAATTGCTTTGTGCAATGGAACATGACTTGCTATGATTTAGCTACCAATTATGTGTATAAAAACAACATTGATTTTAGCAATAAACAATGAATGTATTTTGATCAGGACTTGAGTGTGTGCAAGTCTCTCTGTGTGCTGTTAGCCCAAAACCGGCCAGATCTACAGATAATCAAGCAGTTGACACTTATCTGTTGATATTTAAATAAACTCCCATTTACAACAATAACAAGCTACCAATATTATTATTAATGTAAGCCTTCTATTTTCATAGGTGTCTGAGCAGAGAATAATTCAAGATTTTGCAAAGCAGGTAAGCAAACATTTAAAAGACTCTAGGTATGATGGCTGATAAAAGCAAAGCCTATTTTGCCCAGTGGAGTCGGCTTTTTCTTTCCCATTAATTGAAGAAATTAAAGAAATATTCTTTCAAACCTTGTTGATACAATATCGGTTACTTTACTCCAACCAGGAGCTCTTGAAACTCTTGCTCTTCTTAAAAATTAGCTCAATGCTGATTTAGGTCTAAATATATTTACAGAATAGGAGTTCAGTTCAATGTCCATCCAAACATGACAAAATCAGTTTTCCCAGGTGGTTTATTTGGAGATTCCTTAAAGGCCATTTCACGCTACCTTTTTAAAAAGCTAAAACTTTATTTGCATCAGTTGAATTCCAAAAATAATGGTCCAGTTTTTTTATCAAAGACTATTAAGTCATTGAAACTGTTTCCTGTTGTCTGTTGCAAACGGATGACAGGGATGGATTCGGACTGGAACTTAAAAAACTTGGGCCAACTTTTTCAAGTTTTAATGCCATGCCTGCAAAAATCACCCCAAAAAATTTTGTGGTCAGTGCTCCTTGGTAAAATTTGTTTGATATCTTATTCAAAGCTCTACAGGAGCATTTTTTGCAGGGGGAAAGAAACACATCACTATTCCACACATTTCAGCTGTATAGGAATTTATACCATAGGAGTTTTTTAAGAACTCCCATGCTCTGACACTTTTGTTTTGACTCTGCTGCAGAAATATTCAGAGCGTGCCATCCACACAGTAATTTACATCATGTTGAGAAGAGGAGAACTGGAACATAGGTTCCAAAGGAAAGTGCTGTACAGAGTCAAGTGATCAGATCATGGACGATTTGAGTTCTGCTGTAACTATAACGCAAGCTGAAGGGAGCTTCACAGAAATCTATCTGACTTTAGTAATAAAACTCAGACAAGTGATGCAGACTGGTGCTTTCTAATGATATAATTTTCTTGGGAAATCATACCTTTTGTGGGAGCAACAAGAGTTAGCCGACATTGAAAGGGGAAGGATTTGATCATGACTTACTCCCATTACGATGCAGTACAAGAATATCTTAAATCTCTGTTTCACTTGCAATATGAAAAAGATTGCTTGTGTTTGAAAGACTGCTTGTGTATATGTACTTGGAATGTTAATAAACTTTAAGAAAAATGTTTGATGCAAATTTTCAAAGAATTCTTCAGCTGTAAAGTCACTCCTTTATTCTTCTTTTGTTTTTGTTTCCACTTTACTGGAAATGAAAATATCCTACAAAATGAAAAGGAAATCTATATACGGTCAAACCTGTCTTTAACCCTTTAAGTGCGAGTAGTGACCAACAACAATTTTCTCCTAAAAATATCTATACATTGTCAAGAGATAAAGTTGTGAGAATGAATAACATGATCACCAAAGGGAAAACGCCATGATCTTTTATCAAATTCTCTCAAGTAATTCTTACAGGAAATGTATGCAGATCAGTTTGGAAGATTTGTATGTAGATATTGGGGCTTAAAGGGTTAAAGGCCACCCTTCTGGAGGAGGCCATTTTGAGAAATTCCAAATAATTCTTAAATTGCTATTTGGGAGGTGCTTCATGTAAACCTTACTTTTGCAATATCTTTTGTGCATGTGCAATACGTCAATTTGTCAAAAATTTGCATACTCGGCATATTTGGCCTAAGTATAGTTTAGTACCTTCGTCTTTTTAGCACCGTGAAAAGTTTGGCAGAGAGAGAACTGAGTTGGAAGGACTTTCTAATCAGAGAAAGTGACAGGTTCTAGCGCAAGGCTTCTAAATGACTGTAGTTTGAATTGTTTTGTGCAGCTGTTACAAAAATGGCTGCAATAATATTACTCATAGATTACTCTGGTATTTTTGGAAATCAGCCATTGCACATGCAATTCATGCGAAGAACAAAGGTTGATGTGAACATCAGGTTCACAATCTCTACCCAAAAAAATCTGACAATTTTCTGGTAATTTTTGCAGTGACCTATGGCCAACTGACTGCTTACAACCTTGGCTATAACTAGTGAGTTATTGACCCTGATGGGTTCAATAATCACATTAAAAATTAGCTAATAAAAACAATAAGGTACTCTTATTGAGTAGCCCTCAAGCATACCCTGGTTTGTACCGGTATTTTCTGTTTCTTATACATCAGGGTCGAGTTGTTCAAAGCTGGGTTAAGATAACACAGGGTTAGTGCGAGATTTGAATTTGGATTTGAAAGCTTAAAAAGCATTTCAGTTTTAATTCTTTCTGTCTACATGTTGATGTTTGGAAGATCTAAACATAACAGAGAAAATTAACCAAGAAAATACTTTTGAACACAAGAAAAAGAAACGCAGATTAATTTAACCCTGGGTTAAGCGCTAATCGGCCTTCGAACAACTGGGCCCTGGTGTTCGTTGGTTTTAATCTCAGCCTGGATGGTCTTAACCTGCACTTTCATTGATGCAGGTTTTACTGAATGCCCGAGACTGGTTGATGATTGTGTATACATGGCGTGATGGTACTGGAGACTACCCTGGGTACCAGAGGTTTTTTTTCACGTGCGAAGGAGAACTTGACCGAAACCGGAAACCACGCATGAAAAGCCTCTGGCACCCAGGGTAACTGGAGACTAACTCATTGTTAAATCTACTGAGTTCATTTTTCTGTTCAGTTAGTCCATTTCATGTCATATGGTCCCCTGGGATACATCACTGAAATGCAATGACTGCGAAGGCCTGACAAGTGCGACTTTGAGCTCCAACCCTTGACCTCTTTGCATAGTCATAAAGAACAAAACTTTGCTGTTGATAGTTTGCAAGAAGTTTATTGTTGCCAGACATTTTTTTTGATTAATTCTACAAATTATGTACTGTTTGTCACAAAAGTACAAGATTATTCACATGCAGCTTAAGTATGTCGGAGTGTATAAACTTTCTTATCATCAAGTTATCTTATAGTTTAAAATTTAATAAAGTTTTGTCACTATCGTTCTCTTTTGTTAACTTTAATACAATCATTAGGGGACAAATGTACACAAAAACATTTATAACAGTACTGTTTCAATCCAGATGGTGCACTAATGCCACTGTGGTATTTAACAGCATACCCAGGAAGTAACTAGGATAGCTATTCATTTTATGGTGTACATAAAGAAAACGTTTTAACTCTGAACAATTTAGGGATCATGAAAACTCTGTGAACATAAATGTCTTGGGTTTTCTTCGGACTAAATGAAAGAATGACAATGGAAATCAAGCCTAATATGTGGCCAATTCTAAAATTCAAGAAAAATAACTTTTATTTCCCAAGAACTGAAAAGTTCAAATTAATAATACTACTATGTAAAATAACTGCTGAGGAAGTTTTATTTGAATTAAATGGTCACACCATCGGACTTCGTCCAGACTCACAACTAGTTAGAGCTACATCACATCTTCATATTGGCATGAGGAGTCAAAAGGTAGCATGGAAGACAAATAACACATTTTTCCATAAACTCAGCAAATGAAATGACTTGAATTAATTATATTGTTCTCACTATGGCTTTCAACATTCTCTGCACTTTACTAAACTTAAAAATGTGCACCATTCAGAAACTAATGTAAAACATAAGACTTATTATGGTAATCAATCATTTTAGAAATGACAAACTTTTCATTATTTCAGTTACTGAAGAAGACAGTTTCACTTGTCTAATGAGAAGAACAAGAAAAGCTAGTTATACTCATCATAAAGGCAACAACATAGGTAAATCTGCAATAATGCTGAGAGCTGCAATCTCTTTCTTAATAGTTGCACTCTCTGATATTAATTTTTAAACTGTTAAATTATATAAATCACTGGCACAACAATTTAAAATAAAGTGGAGCCTTCGTGGGCATTTCAAGACCAATCTTCCAATCCTACCAAAATTTAAGGGTGCTTACTTATGACAGGTCTTATAAGTGAAACTTAAATGTCCATGAAAGGATATGTGTGAAATACATGTCTAAAGCTGTCAACAGACTTTCCCCTGGGCCAAGAGTCCACAAAAATCCTGGCTCAAAGACCAATTACTGGAATATAACATGTAATAAAACCAGTAAAGGAAGAGAGGCCACACCCTACCCCCCCCCCCCCCCCCCCCCCCCCAAAAAAAAAAACAGCTGTGCTTTTACGTTGAAATGATAAATATATGAAAATCATATACTAACTGCCAAATGAAGAATTAAACATAAATAAGACCACCATAGTAGTAGAATCAACTTTTACATTTGTTATTGCAAAAAGAAAGCATAAAAAACATTTCAGGCTTGTATGGACCTTTTCCAGCATTCTTTGCAAATCTGTCATCAACAGTCCTATTCACGACT